GGCCAGCAACACTGCCGTCAACTGGTAGCTTAGTTTTTAAGAAATGTAGACTCAGGCTTCAACCCAGACCTACTGAGTCAGAATCTAAATTTTAACAAGATTCCTAAGAATCTGGTATGCCACATTAAAGTTTGAGAACTACTTCATTTAACAAACAAGTAACCATCAACAAATGTGAAAGCACCTACTTTAGCAATTAATGCTCACACTATCCTCTCTACCCCAATTTCTGACTAAAGAATTGGGTTCTGACATAAGAGTCAGAAATGCCTGACTCTGAAATTATTTCATGGTATTTAAGAAAAGTCAGTATCTAGCCTTTTCTTTTTCCAAAAGAACTTCTCGGATAACTCCTCTTCCCCATAAACAAAGCAATTTCTCCCCTAAACTCCTAAAACACATGCTTGTATTTCTTAAGTATTGCGCTCATCCAGAAACATTTACGGAATACCTAAGTACCGGGGAATGGGCTAGACAACTCACACTTAGCTTACTCTAGATTTAATTGTCCAGGATATATTTTATTGCCCTAACTAAACTGTATGTTACTTGAGAACAGGGTCTTGTGTCTCCTAAATTACTTAATCCAATGATTTGCTATGGAGAGTTCATATTAATCAAGTTCTTATAAAATATATTTTCCTATAATATCTGCCATCTAACCTACTTCTGCTTCCATAAATGCACATCATAAATGTAATTCCTCTTCCACTTTGAGTCAAAATACTCTGAATTCTTACTCTTCTTCCTAAAGACTTCTAAAATCATTCCCAAATTGCTTCAACTTTTCGTAGGTTTAGCACTGACTCCCAAGCCAATCCCTCAATCCTGGAAGATGCCTATAGACTATGTGCCCATTTCTGAGCACTCTACTAAATTCCCTTTACTAGTACCCCATATTGAATTTCATATTCCAGTGGCAATCTGTCCTACAATGAGAGCCTATTACCGTACTCAGAAAATAAAATATTGTTAGTAACATAGGTTACGTTGGTTATAACTTAAAATATTCACAATTTTCCTATGGTCTTTGACAATCACAGGAAGGCTTTAAACAATTATAAATTAAAACTTAATAAACAGATCAAGCTCATTTACATCTGTTTAGGAGTTCAGCAGTCAGCAAGTTTGCCTTATATTATTCAAAACAAAAAATGCCGCAACATACTTGAAGACAGAGTAAAGACCTTATGAAGGAATACTAAAGAGAGAGTGCTTGAAACACTATAGTTCTGTCACACTAGGAATATCGTCTGCAAGTTTACCCAGAAAAATAAATAAATAAAAACAAATATCTGTAAGACTTAACATGGGCTTCAATAACAAGAACAAGTAATAGAAACCCTTTAACCTGGGGGGCAGGCCCCATACGACCTTAAAGCAGACCTCTCCCTATGTCTGGATCAGAGTTTCAAATCTAGGTTTCATCATTCACCAGTTTGAGGCTAAAGTAGGCAAACTACTTAATTTCTCTGCATCTCAATTTCCTCATATGTAATATAATAACTACCTCTGAAGCTCTTTTAGGAAATAACCTTAAGGTATGTGAAGTGTCCAGTAACACAGCTAGTAAAGGATCAATACATAGCAATTCCTTTCCTGTCCTACCCCACACTCTGCTCCTCTGCCTCCTGAATTCTCTACCACCTCTTGGAGTCAATTTAAAAAAAGAAAAAAAAAAAAAAAACTGTACTTTAAAATATTACCTTGGAGTGTATCATCCCTTTTCATACATGTGTGGTAGGCATATATATCTTTTTTAAAAATATTTTTTCCCTTACCATCTGCAGCAGTACAGCGAGAAGCCAGTTCCCATAGGACTAATCCCATGGCGTACATATCTATCCTCAAAAATGCATCCCTTTGGAAGTTTATAGCACCCTCTAATACCTCTGGAGCCATATACCTCCGGGTACCAACCTGAAAAAGATGTTAAAAGCAAAGAGTACTCATTCATTAACTTTATGAACTAACACTGTATGATTTTGTAAGATGAATCAAAACCAAATGTGGTCTATTACCAGGGTAAGGTATACCAGACTATAGCGTATAAATAGTAAGATCCTTTCTGCGTATACTTAAAGAATACATCAAACAGACATTATGCTGGTACAGACTTAGAAGTTTTTATGTTCCCCTTTCTGGATGTAATCACAAGAAACTAAACCGATGGTCAGCTGGGAGAAGGATGCTGCATACTTTTCAGTTTTACCTTTGCATACTGTTTGAAATGTAGCTTAAAAAAAAACTTTTTTGAGGCCTTTTCTCTGTATTAAAAAAAAACTAATATTGTAAAAAGAATTAGCTAAGTAAAGGACACATTGACATTAAAAAGTTCTATCTGTACAAAATCTATGTATTTGTTTATTCATAAATTCTTCTGTCTTGGAGTCCTTTATTTATATCTGTCCCCAACAATTTGGTATTTCTTAGTACTGTAACTATGGTTACTAAGCTAGTACAGCTAGCTTTGGTTGGTGCTTGACAACATTCATATATGAATGCTTAAAAATATTTGTGAGATAGCTGGGTACATCACAACATACTTACGATATCTCAGAACTAGAGAACAGTCTAGATATCGGTATGTCCATAAAGCTCCATCCTTAGGTGGCTATAATCTCTACTCTAGATTAAAAGTTGGGCAATTTATGCAAATATACATGTAACAGAGATTGTTTTAAGAATAAAGACAGGTCATTAAAGTTCAAGGAGAACAACATTAAAGGGAAAAGTGGCTCTACTTTTAAAAAATTTACTACTCTGAATAATTATTTTAATTGTGTTATCAGTGACTGTTTCCCTAAAACCTACTTTTCTCTTAAAGGTAAATGTATGCCATCCAAAGTACCTACCTCTTTTATTACAAGATTATGGTTTATTTACCATGTTGACATAAAATGTCACCTCTTTTATATGTGTTCTTTGTACTATATAAAATGTGCAATAACATGCAAGTCCCTCCAGATATTTTTGAAATTTTCTGGTCCATGAAATCTAAAGTCGAGGAGTCATTACTATAAGCAATTAATATTTTTTTTTTTTTTTTTTTTTTTTGAGACGGAGTCTCGCTCTGCCGCCCAGGCTGGAGTGCAGTGGCCGGATCTCAGCTCACTGCAAGCTCCGCCTCCCGGGTTCACGCCATTCTCCTGCCTCAGCCTCCCGAGTAGCTGGGACTACAGGCGCCCGCCACCTCACCCGGCTAGTTTTTTGTATTTCTTAATAGAGACGGGGTTTCACCGTGTTAGCCAGGATGGTCTCGATCTCCTGACCTCGTGATCCGCCCGTCTCGGCCTCCCAAAGTGCTGGGATTACAGGCTTGAGCCACCGCGCCCGGCCAGCAATTAATTTTTAACTAATGATAGAACCCAATTGTGAAGGAGTTAAAATATGACATGAATGAGTCACAAATTTTTTTCTCAAAAAATAGGGGAAGGAGGGCTTATGAGGTACCAAATTAAGAATATGTTCCCAGAATTTAGTCTTATGATAGTCAATCATTCAATTAGCTTAGAAGTTTGTCCTCAGGCTTCCTACACAACCTTGGTAGTATTCTCCACAAAATTGCCTCCATTCCCATATACATTTGCAGTCAACTTTTCTAGAGCTATATGGCTACTGACCATTACCCCAAACTACATTCTTAAACCGTTAGTCAATATTGCCAAAAATTGTGGTGCCATGACTGCTTAAAAAAACGTGTCCTCAGGAACCAATAGGATATGCTAGGGAAAAGAAAGCTAAGAATTAGTTGGTCAAATAATTTACATGATATGAAAGGTGAAGAAATGATAATGTCAAAGGCCTGAATCATTTAGCTTTGTAGAAAATGTCACCTTTTAGGTTGAACTGGTTTCCCTGATTTAAAAGGTGATCTTGGCTGGGCGTGGTGGCTCATGCCTATAATCCCAGCACTTTGGGAGGCCAAGGTGGGAGGATCACTTGAGGTCAGGAGCTGAATACAAGTGTGGCCAACTTGATGAAACCCCGTCTCCACTAAAAATACAAACATTAGCTGGGCATGGTGGCGCATGCGTGTAATCCCAGCTACTCGGGAAGCTGAGCCAGGAGAATCACTTGAACTCGGGAGGCAGAGGCTGCAGTGAGCCAAGATCATGTCACTGCACTCCAGCCTGGGTGACAGAGCGAGACTCTGTCTCAAAAATAAATAAATAAATAAATAAATAAAAATAAAAGGTGACCTTGTAGGAATGAAAACATCTTTTCCAGCCTCAAAGTTTCTGAGAATAAAATGTATGGATAATGTTCTTTTCCCTTCTGGCCTTCCTAGAGGTTCCTATTACTAAGATCTCTGTGCACATAGAGGCATACAGAGGTGTCAGAGTTACCTAATTCAGGGGTTTACAAGTGCTCTGAACTCTGGAGAGAATTTGGAGAAAAGCCATCAAGTTGATTAAAGAAATGAATGAAGCAATAAACAACAAGAAGCAATAAACTATTATTGCATGGGAAAATGGACAGGGAATTTAATACACTGTAGGTAAGGATAGTGACTAATTATTCTTCCACTCTTCTTAATATGGTGAAAGAACTAACAGACTAAAACTACTGAGTTCATACGAAGAATTCCCTAAGAATGAGGTCTATTAAAAGGTGCTGGATTATTCTTTGATCAATTTTTCAAAAACAATCCTACGACACGTGTCTAAGTTATTGTTTTATGAACTGCTTAATCTAAACCACCTGAGTCCTCTACCATCATATGAAAATGTCTTCCTCAGAAACTTTAACACATAACACTGTTAGATGCTGATTTAAACACCACAACAATTTTAGACTAATTCAGTCCTGACATGCCATTCTAAGAAAATATGGGACAAGTTTATTTTTTCTTATATTTTATAATCATCATCCTTACCTGTCCATGGGTATCGCCTGCAGACTTGCCAGCCTCAAATTTTAAGGCCAACCCAAAGTCAGCAATGCAAGCTGTCAGGTTGTTTTTCAACAGCACATTTTTACTTTTGATGTCCCTTGCAAATAAAAAGAGTATTCAAATTAAGTTTAGACAAGTTACGTTTTAAATTTTTTACTGAAAGCAGAAAAGAGGGGGAATATGTACACTATGAAAAAATAGTTACTTAAAATTATGAAATGCAGAGAAAGGGAGAAAGAAAAAGCTCAGAGCCCCCACGTAGCCTTTAACACAAGAGCACAGTGACAAACCCCTATTCATAACATGGACAATAAGAAGGAATCCTATCCATAAAGCAGTTATATAAACATTTGCCATGTCAAAAAGATATGTTACCTATGTCACCCACCTACCAATCACAAAACTACTGTTTTCTAAGATAATATTTTAGAGTTCTTACTTGCAAACTCCCATAGAAACTGAAATTTAAACCAAAATGAAGAAATTTTTAAAATATTGCTGAATTGAGGCCTTCTGTTTATTGGTACAGACCTACATTTTAGAATAATCCCTTATTATAGAGGTTCTTATATTCTTCCACCCAGTTGTAGAAAAGCATCTTATGGCATGGATACTAGAAACTTTTTACCATAAACATACACTGCTCTAGCTAGGTCCTGGTGTTCTGAAAAGGGTAACAGTTTTAAGGCAATAAGATATCCTCTTCTACACACCTGTCTCAACTGGCTCATCCTAGAGATTACTATACCCTAATTAAATACATCTATGCCATGACTAGTGGTTAAATTTACGTACAGATACATAGACCAAGAATGGGATATTGAAAGCACGAGTAGACACTCCCAAATGCTATAAAAGCCAATCAATCTTAGTTTCAAAAGACTTTCAGGACCTTTTCTTAATAACTCTGGGGATTCTTAAGGATTAATTCCCTATGTGGCCAGGTAGGGCAAGGGAAAATCCAAGAAGAGGCCAACAGACTGCATGTAAGAAAGTGAGAAGAAAGAGTTATTTCTGAGGTAGACGTCATTTAAAGTTTGCAAAATCAGAACTTAAATTAGAGGCTGACTTACAATAATGGCTCCCAGCAACCTAAAACATCACCTGGTGGCACTCAGCTAAGTATCTGTTCCATGAATCAGTTAATGCCTACTTTTCAAACAACCATCTTTAAATTGAACACAAGACGACAAATTGAATCCCACGTTCAAGAAAATTAAATACATGGCAAACTGAATTCCATGTTTAAGACGCAATCATTTTTCCTTTTGCGGGCACGACAAGTGTTGGGTCTAAGAACTATTTCTTCACTGGACAACTGTTTAAGTGATGCCTCCCTCTACCTTGGCTCAGGGTAAAGATAATAAGGTCATTCAAAAAACAAGCAAGGGAGACATTCAAAGTCTCTCCTTCATTACATGCCCTTGGATAATAATCCCTATTTATAATCATCTTTAAAGTATATCACGTTTTGAGGTAAAACAAATGTCTTTTTCCTTTGAGATTGAGAAAATATAGTTTATTTTCAATCATGCTTTCAGAAATGAGATGAAGTAGATCATTAAACTTTACCAATAATGTTAATATATACATTATCCAAAATACTTCCTGGCCAATCTCAAAGCTAACTTTAAAAAACAAATGAAAACCAACTGTCTTGTAAAGCATGACTGAATAACAAAGGAAAAATTAAAATTTACCCACGGGCTTAAAAGTTTAGTAAACGTATATTCAATTACCTGGGAAAACAATACAAATATAGTCTACCTGTGAGATATGGCAGGTTTGTGGCCATCTTTTAGGCCAGGTATATCCTCATGTAAATACGCCAATCCTCTAGCCATGGTTTCAGCAATATGACATAGTTCATTCCAAGAGACCACATTAGCCTTAAGAAAGTCTGACAGTGAACCCTAAAAAAAGACAGAAAAATAGAAACTTACATTCTTGACAAAGGCCGTATGTATAAGGAGACTTTTCTTTTTACCTATAAGAGGTTGTGGAAGGCAGCATTATCTTTCCTTTCAGGGAAAAATAATATCCAAGAAACAATCTTTCTGGAATGGTTAAAATTTCCTTCCATTTCACATTAATAAACATTTGACCAGAAAGAAATACCAGAGCTTTAAACTTTTGTTACAAGAATAGTCAATTTCCACCAATCCATAAGACAAGTTTTTTGTTTTAAACACTAGCTGAATATCTAAGGTTCTAGAAAATATTTTAATAGTTAAAATATCCTGACTATAGAGTTCTTACATCGTGGGACTAGCAGAACACAAAATAACAACATAAAACAACAACTAATATATAGAATATTCTTCTAGAGACTATTGTTGTCCTTTAGGTCAAGAATTAACAGAAGTAAAAGAACCACTTACATTTCACAATGATGAAACCAATTACCAAAAACATAATTTCCTACTTCATTAATGGTACTTTCACACTGACTCTAAAAGCAGAAAAAATGAGGAAAACTAGCAATTATGTGTTGGTGATAATTACCCTGCAAGTTAGTGACAGATCAAAGATGAGATAAATTTCCTGACTCTGGTTTTGTCACTAAGCAAGACTGATTAAAACTGAAAAAAATGGTTCATGTAATCAAAATGAATTGTAAATGGTAAGTGAAAATTACTAAGCATTACCTATACTAAAATAAATGTTTGTAAGATTAATTACAGCACAAGAAATAAGGAACAAAAGGGTGGCTTATATGAGTAGGGTTTTAGGTTAAAAATTTGCCATCTTTGCTCTTTTATTAAAATAAACTACCTTTTAAAACATTTTTATTCAAGAATGATTTTTATTTTCAGGTTAAATATTAATCAACTATAACATGTCTCGAAAAATAACTCTGAGGGATTTATAGCCAACATTAGGTACGCAGGCCAATTCAGACTTTACTAAAGTAAAACGTTAAATAGTTTTACCTTTTCATGAAATGCTGTGATTAGCCAAAGATCCACATCAACACTGGTGCCTCGTTTTTCTGCACCAATGAACTGTAATATGTTCTCATGCTTCATTCCAGGCAAACTGTAGACTTCATATTCATTTTGCCATGACTGTTTGTCCTAGAGTCAAAAAGAAAGAATAGTAAGAACACAAGGAATACGGGTAAATAAACCATGTCTAAGAGATTACTCAAATAAGTTCCAAAGTAAAACAAAACAAAACAAAACAAAAAAGTATTTTAAAAAATTTTTGTTCTGTTTTGTAATAAGAAAAAAGCTCTGACAATAGGTTAACAAATTTATACGAAATGCCTGCCCTGTCCATTCCCTCAGAACGTACTTTTCTGTGTTTCTAGTTTACAAACACAGAAGTTGATCTGAAATGCTGCATTCTGTATCTTACAATGGCAACACATAAGTTACTGCAAGTATTACATTGTAATTTCATCATGGTGTGAAGCTACTTGTGGTACTATTCAGAATAATCTCCTTGAAAGATGAAATTCAGGCAGAATGACTTCCTCTAAATAGAAAACTTCTTCTTTTCAAAAACTAACATAATATCAAACATCCTTCAAAAAATGTTTAGCATACCCTGCAAAGTCAATGAGAAAGCAAGGGGCATAGATATGCAATGCAATAATTTAAGACACCATATATTCATTTGTGCCTGCAAGCGATCCATGTCTACTAAGTATCTTCTTATAGAAGATTAGTTTCTTTTCACTACTAAAAGACAGTAATAGTGAGAGGTATCACAGCATAATGGTTAGAAACCCTTAGAAATCCTCTGCATCCAAACTGTTCAAACTTAAATCCTGGCTCTCCCACTAACCTCTAGCAAGTTACATAATCCTTCAGTGTCCTCATTAGGTAGAACAGGCATTGTAGTGTCTGTCTTATAGAATTGTTGTATTATATGTTGCATTTTACGTACATGTGGGCAATATATGTACACATATTAGTAAGCACTCATATATGTAAAACACCCCTACCTGACCCAAGAAAAACATACAATCAAATGTTAGCTACTGTTGTTGCTGTTGTTGGGCTTAAGTTAGTATCATCCAAATGCCTTTCTCTCATCCTTACGCTTCCTTACACATGGAAATAATTTCTTCCCTTATCTCACTTATGAATCTTGGCACAATAGAATACACTTTCTCTCTGAAAACTAAACTGTGGTTTATAGTTACCAAAAAAAAATGTAATACAGTTCACAAACTCTATGTAATACAGTTCATAGACTGAACAGAGGAGGTAAGACTGAACAGAGGAGGTAAAAAGCTTAAAATCTAGGTATATTAAGACAAAGAAATTGCTTATATGACAACTTTGGAAAAAGAAAGATCCACTCTCTAAGTGTAGTGGTAGAGCCTGTAACACCAAATCCAACCAAGACATCAGTACAAAGGATATCATGAGACGCCAGGGTATATAAGAGACGGGGAAGACAGAATCATCATAAACCTATACCACCAACAGAACAAAACAAAAGAATAGCTCAGAGGTACATTAGATCAGAGTTTTATGAGAAGTCCGGCCAACCTTTAAAATAAAAACAATTCAACAATAAACCAATTATTTGAAGTCTTGATTGCCTCTGAAAATGCATCAAACAAAAACTGAAATAATTAAACACTCAAAGTAGAATGAAAGTAAGTCAAGTCTGGTAATATACCTCCAAATACCAATTCCAAAACAAAATATACTACTCTTTTGTTTTTCTGTTTGCTTTTTCTGACAACGTAGGGGGATATTAAAATTTAACCACTCGATTAGACTTGTTTATTGGAATCCTTATCTTTATTTAACATTTCTATGGAATTTTCATTGGCAAAAGATCTCCTATGCATTCATTTAATTCCACCACTCCACACAAACATAATGATTGTTATACTAACAATTCAATCTCTCAGATGCAAAGGCAGGCATTAAAAGAGCTAACTGCTTTCTCCAGTATCACAAAGAACCACCTTGGAACATATGGCTTCTGTTTTGAGACTATTTCTGAGTTATGATGACCTAGCCATAAAACATATATGTAAGATGACAAAACTGCAATAAACATACCTGTATTGGAAATATTTTGACAGCCACATATTCATTAAGCAACTGGGCTTTCCAGACACAACCAAATCTTCCCCTTGCTTTCACTTCTAATAACTGCAGTGGTTTCAAACCTAGTAATGGAGAAGGTGGGGGTGGTCCTGGGTCCTACAGATAAATAATAATAATACTATAAATAAGCAGAATATGATACATATCAACTCTGGAAATGAGAAAAAAAGTGAGTATACTGAAAAGTCAACTGACAGAAACAGTAAACACATATGGATGACATTAACTTCAATTTTGCCATAATTAGATTACTAATTATCTATAGTGATCACAAGGCAGGCAACCTGAATTAAGAGCTTTCATAATAACGTTCAGCATTATTGCTTGATATGTACCACAGGAGAAAAGATCTAAAATCTTTCTGATCCAGTCTCACTAATTTTCCCCACTAAGATTTTCTGTTAACTATGAATACTCCTAACAGTATTTCATTTGTTTCATCCAGTGTGTACTTCGAGGAGGATGATTTGAAAGGTGCCAGAAACAGCAAATTATGACTATGTATCAGCAAAAACCTCTCCTTAAGATCTATTACTTTCTCCAGTGACTGTTTAAATTTTTTCTTCATTAATCTCAGAGATACCCACAAGTCATTCTTAAACACATTGCAGATAGGTATATCAAATACAAAGCACATACAGGAAATATGTAAGTAAATATTTCTTTAACCAAACTGTTTGGTTCATTCTAATTTTAAACATATTAACAATTCATCCCTTTGATCTGAGATAAAAAAATTATCTGTGTTCTGGAACTGACTGGCAAAGAAGTACAAATAAAAATCCAGAAAAGAAGTGGTCATCACAGTAGATAACAGGATATGGTATATGAAAGAAACGTGCACTGCTATAGTTTTTTAAAAATAGAGCAAACATAATATATAAATGGGAATATAGCATCTACAAATCACAAGGGAATCCTATCAAAGCAGAATGCAACCCTTTATTGAAAGCATTCTCTCAGTTCCCTATCTGCAACTAAAGCAAGACGCAGGAAGCCGTTTGGAAAGCTTCCAGAGAAAAGCAACAGAAGGGTTTGGAGGGCTGCATAATGAGTATTTTGAAGAGGAACTAAAATTTCTGTGGCAAAAGCAACTGATATGATGACACTGGGTGGCACTTCAGACACTTGGAAATGTTATGTGATCCCAGATCAATGCATCTCTCTCTGCCTTTCTTTTTATCTCTTCTTCTAATGCCTCAAAGACAGTTAGTGCTTTCTTTAGGCATCACTCCTCCGCTCACTGGTGCCACTCAGGAGTTTTAAAAGTGTACTGTGTACTAGAAAGAACCTCAGCAACAGAAACATTGCAAGGTGTTATATAGGAAAAACATGCAATTTCTTCTTCTAAATGAGACCATCTTTATAAAACGGCTTTAGAATTCTTATTTAAACAGTAAGATAAAACAGAAGACTTCTTGTGACTCATTTCAAACTCAGACTTTTTTTTTTTTTTGTCTACAAAGTTTCTTGTCCTTTCCACATTCAAAACATGAAAGAACGTTTCTGTTTAGTAGAGTGACGGGTCAAGGAAGTCAGATATAAATCTTATAGGAAGGATAGGCTCTCAAATGTGATTCTCAGTGGAGGGGACACAAGAACCTCTAGAGAATTTTTATTAAAAACTATACCCTCCCTCCCTCATTCTTCAAGTGATCATCTCTGTCTGAGAGATTCTACTGATTGGAGCAGACTGCTTATATGCATGTGGAGAAAGGAGAAAAAAAAGCTTGAAAACTGCTCTTCTAGAGGAAAGGAAACCATTCAGTCCTCAAGGGCGAAGAGTTCTCGTGTAACTGCATAAAGACATATTTAAACTAAATAGAAAATGTTTGTAAGGTAGAGAGTTATGTTTCAAACCAGAGGGGATGTCAAAAACTAAAAACTAAAGTATGCAGAAAATGGCTGAAAGCTGAAGAGGAAAAATAACTAGGCAGAGGGAATACAGCGCTAAATTCAATATTAAGATTTTTAATAGCTTTTATGTATATTGACTAGTAATGTCTCCATAGTTAATCTACACATTACCCACTCTTTGTTCTAAAGGATACCAATAACACGAATATGATTCAATCTATAAAATAAGATATAGATTTTTTAATCCACAATTAATATGTTAGCAATTCAAACTATGATTTTAGTATAATATTTTAGAAAACATAATTTTCAATATCTAAATTTAGAAAAAAAAGTTCATTATGCATTTTCCAAATGTATATACTTCAAGTTCCCATACATTCCCAAGGCTCTGTTTAACAAGTTTCTAAGCTACCATTATTTCAGAAAGAAATAATCTTAGATCACCCTTTTACCATAATTTATTCAATACTGTATAGTAACAGCCAGAAAAAAAATTATTGTCAAAATGACTTAAAAGGTAAAAGCTTCAATTAAAAAGAATACTGGTCAATTTTGAAAGGGTGAGAAAAAGGTCTACAAGGTCTTCATGGGGTAGAATCTCAAAAACTTTAGTAATGGCATGAGCTTTTCAATGGAATTTTAAATAATATTCTTTAATACTCAAAGGACTGGGTTCAAAAATGAGTAACTGTAGCACAGATTATAAAATCTCTAAGCCTTTTTAAATAAAAAATTACTAGAATGAAACTTTAAATTCATCTCTAAGTTTTACTCATCCTATAATCTAAGAATATTAGAAATGATTTTTAATTAATTGGCATTATTATAGTAATTTACTCACAAAAAAATCAATACTTGATTCTAAAAATAAAAATGTATACCTTTAAAATATATAAGCCCCTGGGAAGACAAATGTAGACACCAATTTCATAAATGACAAGCAATTTCTGATGTCATCCACAAAATATGGCTTTACCTGGCTACACAGAGAAACCAATGGGGAGCAGAGAGGCAACTATAAGGATTTCAGAATTCCTAAAACCTTCCCTAAATGTCCAGTTCTCTTACAACATCCATGCTATTTTGCAAAACTAAAAAGATATGCATTAGAACACGGTTCTGATTACATTTCATCTTTACTCATTTGTATATGAAAATTATGGTATCAGAAGACATCAGGTTGAGAAGACATACTGAAATGATAACCTGTAAAAAGTAATCCCCTGCCCCCAAACCTCTACCCAATATCATTACTATAACCAACAGTGGAATAAATTATTAGAGGTAGGAAGCTACAAAGTCATCTCTGATCATTTTACTTATTCTGAGTTCTCCATTTGAAGGATGAATTTTAATCTAATTAAACGCTTAAACCTCAGATAGCAATATATCATCAAAAGTTATACTCCTGTAGCTAGTTCATTTACTAAAGATGCCAAAGATGAAGCTATCTAAAAATATCTATTTCACATTTAAATACAACGGGCTGGATTAGAAAATCGACCCCTGTTAAAAATGAACACATGCTGACATTTAAGCTAATGACATATTATAAAAATTAACCAATACAAGGTTTTTGAGACTAATGGAGCCATTAGTGTTAACATCTAATCAAGTAAAATAGTTTTTTCCACATCCTACCTTAAATAAATATAAATACTGTTAGTCCCTTAAAACTAAAAGCCATTACTAAGTCAAATCAATCATGTTTTAATAATAAAAGCTGGGTGGGGGAGAACCCTTTATGACATAAATGTATAAGTTATAGAGGATGCACAGTAAAGCAGTAACAACAACAAAAATCTAAGAACAAAATGTTTAGTATGCATCCACAGAAAGTTCCACAACCATAAAACAAACATCAATGCATCTTACCTCTATCATTATATGAAAGGCGTGCTTGTGAAGAAAAAACACAGGCAAAAGAAATTACGATTCATATCCAGAATGAAATGAAAAATGACACATCAGTTACAAAAGTGAAGGAAAGAGAATAATGGTTTAGTATTTTAAAAGTTGGCAATGATCCAATGTTTTACATTGTTTAAAGATAGGGAACACTTTCCTTATAAACAGAGGAAAGTAATATCAAAAAGAACCCCTTAGATATGAGAGATAGGTAGTAAACAAATTCTTGACTCCAGTATAATCCCAAGTTAACTGATCCAACGACTTCATGCCTGCAAACAAACTAAACCAAGTCTTAAATAATGATTATTTATTTTTCTAAGAGCTGCTAGAGTCTAAACCATAAAACAAGGAATTTACAAATTGGAATTCCCTTCTGGACACTAGAGGGCAGTATTGCCTTTAGCAAAAACCAGTTAGCAGCTCTAAAAATTTATATATAGCTAGAATCAGTTTCTCAGACTTTCTGACAGTTGTCTTAAGAACCTCTAGAATTTCCTGAACTGCCTCACTTCCCTTTCATGGAAGACAGAATCATAATGGTGAGACAGAAAAATGTTTCTGGTGGCTATGTGCGTGCACCATAATACACCATGGCAAGAAACTAAGACAGGAAAACAAGATCATCAGAATTAAGTAAAACATAGTGACAGAATATTATCAAACCAAATTGCCCAGCACATCAAGGTGAAGCACTTAAGCAGTGGTAGCCCTGGGAACAAGTAATCACACATCTCACATTCTAAAGACACTCAGACACTGTCAGAGAACACGATTTTCATTTTTCCAGTCATCCCAAAATAGGTTAAGGTCTAAATTTAAAATTAAAAGAAATATCATCACCAGTGGTAGGGAAGCTGAGAATTCCTCCAATGGATGATGGTTATGTTCCCCAGTTTCCAACAGTTCTATAGAGAACAAGAGCACTGACAAAACAGAACTGACAACTCATTTATCTGTACCAGTTGCTTAACTAGTTTTCTTCTTTCTAGATTTCATTCCTGTGATAATGATTCAAGAGTATTTATAATTCATCCAAAAGGCTGAGATAATCCTACTATCAAAACATCTTATCAGTATTCCAGAGTAAAATTAATCCCTTGAAAGAAATACATGCCAACTGAATAACTAGAATATGGTTTCCAAAGGCTCAAGGATCTCTCAGATCTTGTTTAAATACAGGTGTTTTCAGAGATAAAGATGCCACCATACTAGCACTGTGCAAGTAGGTGCTATCCATACATCTTACCAAAAAGTATTTCTCTGCTCAATACATTTCCCAAGAAATGAACATTAGGGTAAGCTATAAAATAACCCAAACTGACACCAAGAACAAGCCTCAAAATATCAACTATGCAACAAAATATGAAGGGTAAAAACAGAATTTAAAAAAACATTCACTGAAGTACACAAATAAATACAAAATAACCACATATATGTTTGCTTAATACACTTCTCAATAAATGAGGATTAGAATAAACAGAGACACCAGCAACAGTCCTGAATGTATAAACTACATGACAAAATAAGAGGGGTAGAGCAAAATTTTTTTAAATGGTCAGGCGTGATAGCTCATACCTATAATCTCAGTATTTTGGGAGGCCAAGGCAGGAGGATCTTTGAACTCAGGAGTTCGAGACCAGTCTAGGCAACATAGGGAGATCCCTTCTCTACAAAAACTTTTTAAAAAATGAGCTGAGCATGGCTGCACATGCCTGTGGTCCCAGCTCCTCGGATGTCTGAGGAGGGAAGACATCTTGAGCCTGGGAGGCTGAGGCTGCAGTGGGCTGAAATCATGCCACTACATTCCAGCCTGGGTGACAGAGGGATACCTCCTCTCCAAAAATAAAAATAAAGTAAAATAAAATGCACTGAAATATACAACTAAGCAAAAAGCAAACAAACTCTTTGGATTCACAACATAGAAAATGTAGCTTGATATTACATACTATCACTGTAGGTAATGGTGAAAATCGAATCTGCATGTTAATATCAAGCTATTAGGTTTGTAGTTTACTTGTTGCTTACCCCTGAGGTGGGGGGGGGGGAAAAAACCTGCCAAATATCAGAAAAGAATGAAGAATAGTTTATTCATTCATTCATTCATTCATCCACAAATTTTACTGAGTAACTAGTCTGTGCCAGGCACTGACTAGCCAGGCTCTCATGAAGCTTGCAGTAGTGCAGGGCAGGCCTAACCAACAATTCACACTAATAAAAAGGAATTCAGTACCTTCAACATCTGTGAAGAGAAACTTGACTTATAATGACAGGTAAAGTGTAAGAAGATTTCCCTGTGGAGAAGACCCTTGAGAAATGGAGTAAGTACTAGGGGGAAGCAGCTAAGGTGAAAAACAGAGTTCAGACATCTTAGTTTCCTGGCTTATGCAACCAAATGGACAGTGGTTCCATTTACTGAGAACCAGGTTTGTGAGAGACAATCATTACCCGTGAATGGTAAGTGCCTGGAGACATATAAATGGAGATATTTAGCAAACAGATACACAGATCTGGAATACCAAAAAAAAATCTTTCTAGAAAATAGATTTTTTAAACATGTATATGATATGTACTGTAAGTTTTCTTTTACTTACTAGTCAAACCATTCCAAGAAATACCTGTATCTCTGTATCTAGAGAGAGAGAGACTGATTTTTTTCTGGGGGTGGAGATACCTCACTCAACAACTTTTTAGGACTACCAAGACGAATGAAGGTCCTCCTACCCAACTATGTGAAAACTGACAAATTCTGAATTTGTTTCCTCTTAATATCAACTAATTATTTTACATTCTAAGAAATTTTACCATTTTAAATTTTAAAAAGAGTATCCTGCCAAGAAGAATAGAAACAGAATTTATAAATAATACAGTATATGCGAGGACGATGTTTCTGAACTAAGGAAAGCAAGACATACATTAAGAGATTCAACAATATTGACATGTCAATTGCACAGCAAGGATTCCATCCAATTAGGTCATCAAAATTCCTCTGTGATTAACTCCTACTTCCTACAGTTTCTCTCATCCTACTCCTCTTGAAAGGAAAGCAAAGAAAGGCCAAGGCAGGTGAAATGAAGATTCTGGATATGTTCCCTAAGAAGTAGAGCACCCCAAGGTAGCCAGCACTGGAGTTAAAAGTCTGAAAGAAACACAGGCATGCCCATTTTCCTTTCGGGGTTGCTGCTTAAAAGAATCAGGTTTATGACTGGCTACAGAAGTTTATTTTGATTTATTTTCATATCTGTATTCTGCAAGTGTAGCTGAAAAAAACAGAAAGGAGATCATGTTACACATGAATAAATTGTGAGATGGTAAAATGGTCGTTTACCTACAAGGCCACATATAGTCACTATGAAAACTATTTTAAATGTAGTTTATATACTCTGATCTCTTTATCCTACTTTGCTTTTTTTTTTTCTTTTTGAAACAGAGTCTCGCTCTGTCACCCAGGCTGGAATGCAGTGGCACGGTCTCGGCTCACTGCAAGCTCCGCCTCCCAGGTTCAAGCGATTTCCCGCCTCAGCCTCCCAAGTAGCTGGCATTACAGGTGTGCACCACCATGCCTGGCTAATTTTTGTATTTTTAGTAGAGATGGGGTTTCCCCATGTTGATTTCCCATGTTGGCAAGGCTGGTCTAAAACTCCTGACCTCACTTGATCCGCCCATCTCGGCCTGCTAAAGTGTTGGGATTACAGGTGTGAGCCACCACACCCAGCCCCTGCTTTGGTTTTTTTAATGGACTCCACTTAATTATTTATTAAGCCATTCAATCAATGGGCAATAATCCTTGGATATAAATGCCCAGGCTTTGCCACCCACTAGGGTGATTCTAAGCCAAGTCACTTCATCTATGAGTGCCTCAATTTTCTTATCTATAAAACGGACTTCAAAACTACAATGAGATACCATCTCACACCAGTCAGAATGGCTGATTATTAAAAAGTCAAGAAACAACAGGTGCTGGCGAGGCTGTGGAGAAACAGGAACGCTTTTACACTGTTGGTGGGAATGTAAATTAGTTCAACCATAGTGGAAGACAGAGTGGTGATTCCTCAAGATCTAGAACCAGAAATATCACTTGACCCAGCAATCCCATTACTGGGTATATACCCAAAGGAATATATATTATTCTATTATAAAGACACGTGCACACGTATGTTTACTGCAGCACTATTCACAACAGCAAAGACATGGAACCAACCCAAATGCCCATCAATGACAGACCGGATCAAGAAAATGTGGTTCATATATACACATGGAATACTATGCAGCCATAAAAAGGAATGAGATCATGTCTTCTGCAGGGACATGGATGAAGCTGGAAGCCATAATCCTCAGCAAGCTAACCCAGGAACAGAAACCCAAACACCACATGTTCTCACTCATAAGTGGGAGCAGAACAATGAGAACACATGGACACAGGGAGGGGAACAACATACACTGGGGCCTGTCAAGGGGCAGCGGAACAAGGGAAGGCGAGCATCAGGACAAATAACTAATGCATGTGGGGCTTAAAACCTAGTTGCCGGGTTGATGGGTGCAGCATACCACCGTGGCATGCACATACCTACGTAACAAACCTGCATGTTCTGTACATGTATCCCAGAATTTAAAGTTAAAAAAAAAAAAAAAAACTAAAATAAAATGGACTTGATAAATAGGACAGAACTCCCATGGTACTAACAAATTAAATGAGTTAATATGTGTCATGTGATCTGTATAGTGCCTGACATAATAAAATGAATCTTCTATTGCACTAAGTTAATTTCAAAGTATTAACATATATCAACAATAATTTCAGTAAAAACGATTCTGTTTGAGTTCAATTTTGAAGTCGTTACTCTAATACCAATAACAGTGAATACTTACTGAGCACTTAGCATTAGCTAGGCACCCACATGTGGCTCCTCTCCCAATCAGTACAGATCTGGAATCAGACATTTTTCCTCCCTTCCTCCAGTCTTTGCCTAAAATTGTTGAAGCAACTCACT